GCGAGAGGCGAAGGTGACAAGGGTTTTCACTTCAAAGGCAACCAACAGCACAGCGCAGATTAAAGCACACCAGGAATCAAAGAGCCTCAGGTGGTCGGCAACACACAGGTGTGTCCCCCATATTCGTGTGTGTGTGTGTGTGTGTGTGTGTGTTTGTGTCTTGCAGAAGAGAGAGCCCATCTATTTTTACCTCTCATCTCTCTTTGGTTTGTCTGTGCGGTTCAGGACTTTCCACCTGGAGGTCGAAGGTTGGCGCTCACAGACGAGTTACAGCAGCGTTAATAAATAACAAATTCAACAACAAACCATCACTAAGTAACGTCAAGTGAAACTCCACCTGGGCACCTCCATGATGGTGACACTTACTAACCATCTTAAGATCACATGTCTGAGAGGATATAAAAAAACAGGAAGGAAATGTGTCCTTAAACAGCACATATTTAAAATCTATATTGTTCTGATCTCACTCCTGACAGAACTGACACACATCCTGCTCTCATATGTGCATGTGTGTTTTCACAACAAGGAACGGAAACCTCTGACAGCCAATGAGACACACGCATATACCTGCTCACCTTTAAATATCAGCTGATGGATGGATGGATATATGATCAGACGGATATATAGATAGATAGATGGATAGATGGATATATGATTAGACGGATATATAGATGGATAGATGGATATATGATTAGACGGATATATAGATAGATAGATGGATAGATGGATATATGATTAGACGGATAGATGGATATATGATTAGACGGATAGATGGATAGATAGACGGATAGATGGATATATGATTAGACGGATAGATGGATAGATAGATAGACGGATAGACAGACATACTGACAGACGCAAGGATCCATGGATAATGACAGAAGAGAGGAAGCCACTTTAGACTATTGACATTTACTTTGTGTTTCACGTCCTGAGTGAAGTGTGCAAAAGTAGCATTTGGAGGGCGGGAGAGAAATAGGGCGGACAAGTGTGCACACTCTCATGCAATCACACACGCACACACACACACTTTCTAAAGTGCTTCCCTGTGTATCCAGTGCAGGGCGCTAAGCATGCAGGCAGCCATTAGAGCCCGCCCCTCCCAGTGGAAAGCACCCGGCATGGGTCCACAGGACTGAACCTCTCAGCCGGCCAACGGCTCTCCACACAACCCACTCAGCACTCCACCGCGGGGAGAAGAGTGTGTGGACTCCATTTACCGCTCCAACTGCTGGAGTAGCATCCTGCAATGCTGAAACTGTCTGCGGCGCTCACACTGTGCAGTGAGCAAGGACACACACACACACACACACACACACACACATTCACAAGCTGACAAGTGTCTGCATCGGAACAGGTTGCCACAGAAACGCGGTCAGCAGCGTTCTTGCTCTTTGGCTTCGCCGAGCATGACAGCAAGGCCAGTCAGTGTTTGAAGTACACTCACACGTGTGCCCACCTCTGTCTCTCTCTCTCTACACGTGCACGCACGTACGTGCACACAGCGTGCACGTTCACCTCGCACAGATCCAAGGACGTGTGAGCTGGTTGATTTGTGTTTTCTCTCTGGTGGTCTGAGAGGTGATTCTGTGGCTGTGCATTTTATGCAACATGATGAAAGAGCAGCAGCGCCGAGATTAATAAGTACTGCCATCTACAGCACACACACTGCAAATGCATCACCAACCACAATGGCCTCATACATCATATTTATTAATTTTGCTTTATCCGCCACGAAGGTCCAAGGACAGAGGATGTTGTGTGCTGTAAAGATCGTAAAAGCCCCTGAGGAAAACTTACTCATAAAGTTGACTTTATCGCAGATGAAAATTAGCCCTTTATGGCTAAATCTGGCACATATATATGATGGACTCAGGGGCTCATGTTAATCACTTTGCATTGTTGCTTTTTGAATAAAAATAAACATAAAACATAATGTGAAAATGTTGAACATCTGATTCCTACACCATGACTGTGCTGCTATAACTGCCTCCACTCTAGTTTCAGGTTGTTTGGGGACCTAAAGACAAAGTATTTAAAAATATAAATTATTATATGTTGTAGATTTCCATTCATTTGGAGCAAAAGTGCCGAACAGCAAACCATGAAAAACAGCTCCAGAACAAAAGCATAAGAAAGTGTGAGGGTAGTCCTTTTTGTTATGAATACTACTGCATCAAATTGACTAAAATGACTGTTCATTTAATCCTTATTCACAGATATACAGGAGCAAACTGAGCAAAGAGAATTCAGGACCAAGGTCAGCGACACAGACTCTCTGCAATGAGCACACGTGACCACTAGAGGGGGACACAGCTTCATATCGGCTGCACTCTGACCATCACGAGGTCAGCAAGTGAGTCCTCAAGCAAAAGAATAAATAAACAGGTAAATACTGAAGCTGTTTTTAAAGAAAGTCTTTATTTGGCTGTAGCATGTTGACTTTGGTGCAGTGATAAACAGTCACAGGACTACAGGATCTATTAAACATGAAGTTCATCTGGTGGCTGATCTGAGCACCATGTGCATTAAACAGCGGTGGTTACACAGGTACAGCAGAGGAAACCACATGTGATATGAATTATGACAGGAAATAAATTGCATAGATGTGATAAACAATATTCTCCCAGATATCAAGACAAGTTAAAGTCATCAATAAAAAATATACATCCTTCAGTTTGCAAATCTCTGTCAACCTGTTATTCACCGCTCCCACCGCTCACTTTAAGTTGCATGTTTAAACCGTTCCATTGGGACACTATGAAGGTGTGACTGCTAAGGAGAACCAGATATGGTGCGCTGTAGTTTTATGAACAAATAACTTACATGTAGTCAGCAGTTTAAACCATTCAAAAGGCTTTTTGTCACCACATTAACACAAAACTATATTTTCTTCCAATGATGTCACGATTTAATTTAAGTGAGCTAATATTGTGCTCAGCGCTTAGTGAACATTTTTGAAATCATCTGTTTGTACAAAGACTATAAATTCACCATATGCAACACTTCATTTGAAAGAAGAAGAGAAGACACCCTTATAGAAATGACGCGGTAAAGTGTGAGTTTTGGCTTCAGAGTGCAGCCGAAGAAAAGTTCAAGTCCGAGTTCAGCTCAACTTATTAGCTTAGCTTTGGCTGCTAACACGACACGCCTAAGGCTGTCTTTGGTGGAAACATTTTAATATATCCCTCCTCCCGCGACGAGAGGCACTGCAGAGCAACTGTGTCTTAACGTCGCAGGTCCCTGTACACACATCCACATAGTGTGCTCTTATACACACACACACACACACACACACACACATTTACAGTTTGTGACAGTGGAGAGGACCACGACGTGGTTGCATGAGGTAGTGAGTGCATTCGATGTGTTTGTTACAGCGGGAGTGTAAAAAGAGGAATTGTTTGGTTAGAAAACATTGAATTTAAAGGAAACCATGTTTGTGTAAAATAAATCTCTACAGAGTAGAGCTGTAATCTGATTGAACATGCTTAGAAAACAAAAATAAAAAGGTTTTTTGTCGTCACAATTCAAAAAGTTACAACAAAAAAAACTCCTAAACCTGTGATTAGTGTTAGAGACACAGATGTGTTAGCAGCACCTTGGAAAACATTTCATTCCAAGACTCTTGATGACCGTGTGCGACTTTGTAGTCGCCACTAAAGTGACATCACTGTTTGCCTCCTCAGTTTGTGGCGGTTGCGTGACGAGAGCTCATGTTACCGATGTATGGAAGGCCGGCGGTCACTTGGACACGGCCTGCTCCTCCATGCCGGCCTGTGTCATGAGATCAGACACGTTGTTCTCCAGGTCATCGATGCGGGTTCCCATCTCATCGAGTGTGGGAGTGAAGGAAAACTGCAGGAGCTGTGCATGTTAGAATCAGACGGCAACTACACAATACATACAATTAAGTTAGTAATATAGTAATAACAATATGGTAATATAGAGAGATCTTTAGCACATTTGGATAGCATTAATTTCAACTTAATAAACAGTTGAGTGTCATTATATACTATACTAAGGGGGGAAGAGGATTCGTCACAACACCGGTAACGAATCCAAGTTCTGCACACCTCAGCGAACTGCGTCATTTCTGAGAGAACGTCAAACCGGAAACGCCAAAGTACAGTGCAGCATGCAGTGAAGAGGTTCCTGTTGACATGAACAAGGTGGTAACAGGAACCGCTAACCAAAAAAAAAAAGAAGGATATTTTTGGACTCCAGCTGCTGCGACATCGCCTGGAATCGTCCTTGAAGTCGCTGCATCGTTTCCTCCATCTGAAGGGAAAAGAGACACAATGTATGCAAATGTTTGCTCGCGCTTTAACAAGAAACAGCTGACATCAGACAAACTTACCGCCGCTGTCATGTCTGTAGCTGCGTTGCAGTCTGTTTTTGACATATTTTCTTCAACAGCGCACTAGTCTTTAGATAGAATCTGAATCTCGATCATTAGATTGTTTATTTGGACTGTTAAAAAGAAAATCCTCACTTAGTTTCCCCTCAAAAAACGTTAGCAGTGACTCCCGGAACTTTGCGGTAAATTGAGTTGACTGTGTGAAAAACAGCGTGACTTCCTTTGTAGTGTTTATTATTTCACAATAAAGGTCACTATACGAAAGCATTGCGAGTGACAAACGCTTTTATTATGAAAGTACATTTACTAAACTTCCGGTTTTATGCTCACATATTTTGACCAGCTTAACTTTTGTATCTGTGATGGTATGTGTGCATGTGGGCAGGGCGTTTATATTAACTCTTTGTAGACCATGTTATCCTGTGAGGCAGGTCACTGTGTGTTCTGAGGGATGTAAACTATTCCCTCTCATAATCTGGATTTTGTGTAAGTGACAAGTCACTCCTGCTGAATGTGTTAAATGTAAACCGTGTAACTGGTGTGGTGTGCTAAGCAGTAAGTCAACTGAAATAAAACAGGGTACATGAAATATTTAAGAAGATGAAGCTCTACCGACAGGGCAACACACGGGCAGAGGGAGAGTCTTCACTTTCTATTAGGTCCCAATGGATGTCACTCTTCAATACAATATGTATTACCTTCAGCAGGGCCGGATTAACTCAATACGGGGGCTGGACAATCATAGCTGTGCAAGGATTTTGGGCCTGATGAAAAGATATCACATTGGGTCCCACCACCCACCCTGCACATTCACTGTAACCGCATCACCAGAACCCATTATAAAGCTTTAAATAACTATCTGTGCAGACTTGCAACTCTCTTTTACTCCAGTCCTTACTGTACGATATTTACGGACAGTGAGCTGTGAAAATGTGTGAAACACTGCAGAGATGCAACATTCTGCACACAGAGGCTCTCTGGATGCTTTTTGCTAAAATAAAAAAATAAACTGCTCGTTTTATTTGCACATTGTAAATAAAGTATTATATTATTGATAATAGGTCGATAAGTTTCTATTTTATTAATTATTTTTGCATTAACCTAAGGAGATTTCTGGCAGAGGCAAACTTCCACCATGAATGAAATAAAATGAATGGATACACTACAGATTCTATTGTGACTTCATGCAATTCAAAAGCAATTAACTAAAACTATTTTTAAATATTTCCTCACCTCTTCAAGTAGCTTCCCTGTTGTGTTTGGTGTATGACTTCCATTTGTTTATCTTGCGGTTTGTTAATAGAAGGAAGACTTTGTCAAATAAACAGCTGTGAAACAGTGAGAGCAAGATTATTTAATATGGATACACTATTTTGCTGTCAATTTTCACATATTTATGAAAAAAAGACAACATGCCTTTTCTTGGTGCCTATTGGTCGACTGTAAATACACGTTTGAGTATCGGGCTCTGTGATTGGACAGTCACAATAAACTGGTCTCTCATTGGCTGAGGACGACGCGGGGGTCCTAAACGTTAAATAAAGCTCAAAAACATGCTCGCTGACCTACCCGCTGTGTTTACCATGTCCTGACTAAGCCACACAACGGATCTTTTTACCGTCAGTATGTCCACGACTGATTTGTCCCACACGCTCGACATCCTCCGGTCTCTGTATCAGCACACACAGACGCTGGAGGAGTTCGCGGACCGCATCGTGTTCAGAGAAGGACGGAGCGCGGTGCTCGTTGAACAGTCCGACACGAGCCGCTTCAGGTCCTTCGTCGGCGGTGTTTATGTGTGCTTTGACAAGGAACTGCAACAGGTGCCAAGCTGCAACCAGGTAACTGTCCCGTGAGTGTAATATCTTAGAGGTGGTGCGATAGCGAGCATTACGTAACGTCCGACCGCAGCGTCTAATAATAACAATAATAGTTTTATTTATATAGCACCTTTAAAAACAGAGTTTAAAGTGCTTTGACAGACAAAGCAGCAAAAACAAGACAATAATAACAATGACAGAAAGCTCAGTCAGACGATAAAAAATAAAAAAAATAAAAAAATATATATATGTATATATAGTTAGGTAAATAATTTAGTAAAATCAACAAATAAAAATCAACTAAGAAATCAATACAATAATATCTGTATGTAGGCTATATATATATATATACAGTATATATGTATATATATATTTAGTAAAATAATTTAGTAAAATCAACAAATAAAAAGAAACTAGAATGAATTAAAAATATATATATACATATATTGTGTATATATATGTATATATACATATATTGTATATACTATATATGTATATATATTTAATAAAATCAACAAATAAAAATAACCTAAGAAATAAATTAAATAATACATACACATATATATATATATAATGTCAAATCATTTTGTAAATAAAATAATAAAACAAAACGTTAGCGCTCGTGCTAACTGATAGGGTTTTATTGATATAGCCCATGGCAGTGCATTGGAGTGGTGTTAAATATAACTTATCATAAAACTGTATCCCTCAGATTTGGTCGTGAAAGACATGTTCTGAGACAGGATATCATACTTGTAGTTCAACAATAACTGTTAACACATTGCAAGGCAACAGCTTGAGTCCATGTTTACTTCCTGTCAGTTTATGTCTTCCACATACACAGCAACAGGAAATAAACTGGGACACATTTGGAGTGTGGATGGTCTATATGAACAGTGAACTTTGTAGTGGAATACAAAACTATCATATATATAAAAACTATAAGAGAGCAATGCATATATTGGCTAGTAGCCGTGTTGGATAATAATAAACTTTGCATTAAATGCCACATTTACAATAAGACATACATTCTTGAGGCATTATGAATGCACAAACCACTAAGCTGTCAAGATTATAAGAGATTGAAATTATGCAAAAAGAAAAGGAACACATCAGGATTTAATTATATAAAGAGAGACACTTCTTATGTTGGTTTGTTTTGATTCTGATGTTGTGTATTGTACGCAATCCACAGATCTGCACTCTCCCTGAACTGCTGGCCTTTGTTGTTAACAGTCTGAAAAGGAAAAGAAAAAGAAACATCTTGGCACATGGCTACAGTTTTCTGTCCGTGGCTCAGGAGGAGCGGGACGCCGACCACTTTAAATTCCAAGGAGATGTAATTCAAAGTGCTGCCTACATCCACGGCAGCGACATGTGGAAGAAAGTCACGATACGCCTCGGCACGGACCTCACGCGGTACCTGCTGGAGAGCTGCTCCGTGTTTGTGGCAGTTCCTCCTTCATGTGTTTTCCAGCTGTGCGGCGCTCCCGTCTATGACAAGGTGTCCATGTCTACTGCCTCCACTGGGTTTTATGTCCAGCCTCGGTCCAGGAGACATAAAGGTGCTCGGTGTGGAAGGAATCGCGGTGCAGCAAGCTTGAAAAGGAGACAGGAAGTTGGGAATCCTGCTATCAGCAAGACAAAAAACAGAAGGGATGTAAGAGGAAAGAAGGGGAAAAGAAAGAGGGATACTGACCAGAAGGATGAGGAGGAGATTATGACTCGTTCGGGAAAGAGGAGACGGGTAGGACAGCAAGAGCCCACACAGGAAAAGCAACAGGTTTGCAGTGAAACAGTGGAGGAAGGACAGCCCGTGTCTGTGGAAACACCACTGTCCATGAAGCCTTTGGAACATGGCCCCACTGGCTCCAAACAGCCTGTTGAAATGCAAACAACTGTGATTCCCGTGGAGGGAGGACCCAGTTGGAGGTCGGGGATTTTCCCCCCTTTGTCTCCCTCGCAGTGTTTCATCCGCACGCTGGGATTCCTGTACGGGGGAAGAGGCATGCGTGGCTTCCTCCTCAATAGGAAGAAGACGAGCGCCGGTGGATGCAGGAGGCTACAAGGGCCAGATTTGGTGCGAACAGTCTTCTTTGAGGGGCTGGCGTATCTGAACGATCTGGAGAGGAAGCCAAAGAAACTCCCTCGGCGCTTTTTCAACATGGTCCCCGTGTTCAGTCAGCTGCTGCGTCTACACAGGAGATGTCCCTACAGCAGAATACTGCAGAGGATGTGCCCAGCGGTGGAGGGGAGTGATGCCGAACCCGGGGTATTAAGCTCCCTCTTGCCTCAACACTGTGCACGTCCCCGGGTCTACCTGTTCGTCAGGGAATGCCTCTCGGCTGTGATCCCTCGGGAGCTGTGGGGCTCCGACCACAACAGACTTCAGTTCTTCTTCCGGGTCAGGAGCTTTCTGTCCAGTGGCAAGTTTGAGCGTCTCTCACTGGCTGAACTGATGTGGAAGATGAAGGTGAACGACTGCGATTGGCTGAAGATCAGTAAAACTGGTAAGATTGTCGTAGTCGGTGAACTTCTGTCACCTGCCACCTGTATTCTGACCGACTGAACCAAACCACTCTCATCTGTAGGCAGGGTCCCGCCCAGTGAGCTCTCATACCGGACACACATCCTGGGTCAGTTCCTGGCTTGGCTTCTGGACGGTTACGTCGTAGGTCTGGTTCGAGCCTGCTTCTACGTCACAGAGAGCGTGGGCCAGAAGAACGCCATCAGGTTCTACAGACAGGAAGTCTGGGCTAAACTGCAGGACTTAGCCTTCAGGTACACACACACACACGCACACACACACACACACACACACGGTTGTACTTGTGCAGTGATAAGACACACAAGCTCACAAACTTTTATTTTTTATTTATTTTTTTTTTTCCAGAGTTCACCTCTCCAAGGGTCAGATGGAGGAGTTGACTCCGACTCAGGTGGCAGCTCTCCCCAAAGCCACCGTCATCTCCCGCCTTCGCTTCATTCCCAAGACTGACAGCCTGAGGCCCATAACACGAGTCATAGGAGCAGATGCCAAAACAAGGGTACGTGTCCATAAAGACATTTTATTTTTACCATGCAAATCCATAAGTCGCATGTGCGTACGTAAGAGAATGATCCCAGTCACTTCCACACAGTGAGGTATGCAGCTGATTAATTAAACACTCGGATTTGATTCGATTGGAGCTCCTTATCGGCCGATACCCAAAGCCCGGGTATCTGTATTGGGACTAAAAGAAAAGTCACACCGGTGCATCTTTATGCATTCAGGACGTTTCTCTTCCCCTGCAGCTCTACCGGGGCCGTGTCCGGGACCTGCTGGACGTGCTGCGGGCCTGTGTGCGCTCCACTCCTTCCCTCCTGGGCTCCACCGTGTGGGGGATGACGGATATCCACAAGGTGGTACGCTCTCTAGCTCCGGCCCAGAAGGCTGAACCACAACCCCTCTACTTTGTTAAGGTTGGTTATTGTCTGCTAGTTTGGTAATTGCACTGGCAGAGACTGACTAAATGTTATAATACATGTCTGTGATGATACGGTTACAATAAGCATTATACTATAGTTTTAGCACCGTTTAAATTGTAAAAAAAAGATTCAAGTCTTATGTTAAATGCTGTTTCTTCCATCATTCTTTCTTTCTTTTCTGTGTGTTTAAGGTGGATGTGAGTGGAGCCTATGAGAGTCTGCCTCATGACAAACTCATTGAGGTGATTGGCCAGGTTCTGACACCTGTCCAGGAAGAACTCTTTACCAGCCGTCGCTATGCCAAGATCTGGGCTGATTCCCACGAGGGCCTGAAGAAGTCCTTTGTTAGACAGGTCCGTCACACACACACACACACTCTCTCACACACACACACACACACACACACACACTCACTTACTCTACACACAGGCGGAAACCTCCGGTTCTGAAGAGTGAAGCCAATGCTTAAGTTGCCTTAGACCTGCATTTTGTTTACATACACACACACAATGTCGGCTCCGATTGGAGAGTTTATCATGTTTGTTAATGCAGGCAGATTTCCTGGATGGTAACATGGGATCCAGCAACATGAAGGGCTTTGTGACGTCACTGCAGAAAAGAGGAAAAGTTCATCATGCCATTCTGGTAGAGCAGGTGAGAGTGACATCCTCAGGTAAGTCTAAAGATTTAGATCAGGAAAGGACGTTTAATAATTCTTTTAACCTGAGCATTTCATTTCTCTCTCTCAGCATTTCTGCTCAGATCTTCATGGCAGAGACGCGCTGCAGTTCTTCACCCAAATGCTAACTGGCAGCGTTGTTCAGTTTGGCAAGAAGTAAGCACAACCAACATTATGCAGACCAATATGTGAGCAGCATGTCTTCGCTCATTTGTCAATATGATCACATGCAAGAAACATGGAATATTCATGCTTATTCTGCACCGTTTTATGTACAACCTGATTTTGTATCTCTGTGTTTCAGAACATACCGTCAGTGCCGAGGGATTCCTCAGGGATCGGCTGTGTCCAGTCTGCTCTGCTGTCTCTGCTACGGTCACATGGAGAATCTTCTGTTCAAAGACATGACTCAAAAGAAAGGGTAATACAGCAGCCGGCTATGTACTTCAGCCAACATCGACGCCTACAGATGTAATGACACATCTGCAGCAGCTGAGGGCAGTCTTTTTGGTTTTGTAGCTCTTTGTTATTCACTGTCTGTGTTATTTTCCACTCTGTGTGTCCTGTAGATGTTTGATGAGACTGGTGGACGACTTCCTTCTGATCACGCCCGACTTACACAACGCACAAACCTTCCTCAAGTATGTCACAAGTTTTCCACACATCTTACTGTTCACAAGGGCTCTCAGACAACATTTATCTTTTCTCTCACCCGCGTTCTGTTTCTCTTCTGCTCTGTTTAGACACGTGAGATAAACACTGAACGAGTGATTGTATCCCACGCATCTTTTTCTGTGTTCTTTTATGTCCACTACTGACGCTGCTAAATATGACAGCTTGTCCGGTGCTCCGGTCTCTTTAGACCTTTGTTTGGGTATTCTTCACTTAGTTCTCTCAAGCTTTTCTTTTTCAAATTCTGTGTGTGCACACGGCCCCGCAGTCTCACGCCCTTTCATAGGGATTCGGCGGGTTGTTTAACTGCTAATTTGGATCAAAGTTCAAAGTTCAAAGTTTGCTTTATTGTCAATTCCACAATGTACTGGACATACAGGGGAGTTGAAAAGACGTTTCTCTCTAGTCCAACATATAAACATATAAAGTGAATACAGTGCAATAGATTAAAAAAACATTTAGACAATATATATATATATATATAATAAGAGAAAAAAGAACAAAAAAACTATCAATCTGTATTTAGCAGCAGTTGGACATGGGGAGTCTTAAAGAGAGGAGGGAGAGAGTTCAGAGAGTTCAGCTTCCTAACAGCCTGGTGGACGAAGCTGTTTGAGAGTCTGGTGGTGCGAGCACGGAGGCTCCGGTATCTTCTCCCAGAGGGCAGGAGGCTGAAGAGACTGTGTGAGGGGTGGCTGGAGTCGCGCACAATCATGGTCACTTTGCGGGTGAGGCGAGTGTTGTATATGTCCTGCAGGGAGGGGAGTGAGGCACCACCATCAGATGGCAGATGGCAGAATTTGTTTATTAATCTGCTGGGACTTATTATCAAGCATGTCTTTTCCGAAATTACCGTCCCACATCCGATCTGTAAACACAGCATCACTATCGCTGCCTCTCTGACGCATCTGTCAAACTGAGGGAATGGGAAATACATCTGAGAAAGCTAGACATGGAGCACAAGATGTTCCCAACACCCGATACTTCAAAACAACCAAACCATCCCTTTAACGGAAGGGGCTCAGAATTAGTAATATAGCACTTGTTAACGGCACTTTCCCATCGTGTGTAGGATCTTGATGGCCGGGGTGCCGCAGTACGGTCTGGTGGTCAACCCGCAGAAGGTGGCGGCGAACTTTCAGGTGACGGGAAGCGTGGGCTCATGTCCCGGCATCCATGTGCTGCCCCCCCCACTGCCTCTTCCCCTGGTGTGGACTGCTGCTGGACACGCAGTCTCTGGACGTCTCCAAAGACTATTCTAGGTGAAGCCTCTCGAAAGTTATACTGCAGAATTATTGCCTCAAGTGTGCTTCTTGCGTAAGTTATCGTGTTTTTTTCGAGGTCGTTATGGTTTCTTGTAAGCTGAGTGACCCCTCCCCCCCTCCTGTACTTTATACCTTCTCATAAATGTTCTGCAGAACGACTCCCGGTCTTTCACGGATGATTAATATTCCTGCATAGAACACTGAGTACAACCACATATCCATTTGCAATATTTTTTTAATGGCAAGTTCCATTTTCTGCAGTTGATCTTTGTTTTTTTTACGAGTTGCTTTCTGTTTCTTTCCGTCTCCCACAGCTACGCAGGCCTGTCTTTGCGCTACAGCCTTACTTTGGGCTCGTTCCACTCAGCCGGACAGCAGATGAGGAGGAAGCTGATGGCCATCCTCAGACTCAAGTTTCATGCCTTGTTCTTGGACCTGAAGGTCAGGGAATTAGCGACGCCTTTTATTTAAAAACAGCCTTTTAAATTGAAGAGCTTGTAAAGTGACGGGACCTCTACAACGGTTTAGGTCTTCCACTTCCTCTGTTCAAAACGGCTCTTGATCCAATAAATGTTCATCAGCAGCAACACAAACACACATCAGCTGTGTGTCTTGAAGGGCTTTTAATAACATGTAGAGTCAACAATATCCAAGATGACCAGCTGGAAGTTACTCTGAAACAGCAACAAAGTTTAAATAACAGTTGTAAACTTGTCAAGTTTAACGACAACCAAGTTTATGACTTACATAAAATCGAGCAAATTGATAGTAAATATCAGTAAATGCATTCAAGACTGGTAGTCAAACCGACCAGGGAACAGAAAATATATAACTAGTTAATAATGTTAAAGATAGTTTACCTTTCATACTCCTTTTTGCACTTGATTAAGATGCATCAGTGAAGAGGAAGTCACACACACACACGTACTGCTTTCTTTTTTCAGTCACTTTTCATTTCATTTCTGCAGCTTTTGCTTTCCTGCTTTTCTTTTTCAGACCAATTCTCTTGAGGCGGTTTACCAGAACATCTACAAGCTGGTGCTGCTTCATGCATGCAGGTAAAGAACCTGACTTTGCAATCTAAATTTTGTACGGTAACTTTTTTAACTGTCTAATATTCTGATTAAAGAAGTGAAATGGACAGTTCAATGCAAATAATTAGTTTCTATTGCCCACGTAGTATTGAAATACAGTTACGATAAACACAAATCTTCACTCACTTTTCACTTCCCTTCCCCAATGTGCTCATTTTAATCTGCTATTAAAAGTGTTGTATATGAAATTGGCAGCATTTCTATTGACAGAAGTGCTGGCAGAGCTAATAGTGATAACCTGAGGGGGAAACGGAGGATGAGCGATACACTTCTGACTTTACTCCACTTTATCTCTACACAGCAAATAGCTGTTTGCTTATATTGATGCTCTAACTATCGAATGTATCAATCAATAACTTCACTGAGCGGAGGACTGATTGTACCTTTTCTTATCTCAGGATGTACTCATCTGAATGGGTAGGGCCCCGGTCTTTGTGTTCTCTTTTCACTTTAGGTTCCATGTGTGTGCCCAGAGTTTGCCCTTCGGTCAGACGGTTGCTAAGAACCCCGTCTACTTCCTGCAGATGATATTGGATATGGCCGAATATGCCAATCAGCTCATCAGGCTCAGCAACAAAGGCAACATTTCCCCTTTTTTATACATCTGGAAAAAACAAATATTTAAGCAATATCAAGTTCTAAAATTATTTTCATAATTTGTTCTTCAGGTCTGATTCTCGGCAGTAAGGCTCAGACTGGCGTTGTGCAGTACGAAGCAGTGGAGCTGCTTTTCTGTCTTTCCTTCTTGCTAGTGCTGTCACAACACCGTCCTCTGTACAAGGGGCTGCTCCCACACCTGCACAAACGTACGTACCCTCACACAACAACACCACCTGTCCTGTGGCTGCACGAGAGGACAAGCACTATTGTCCCAACGTATTCTTTAAAATATGATAATGATAAAGTTTATAAAGCATATTTCATACAAACAGATTAAATACAATGTTCTGCACAACACACAACAGTAAATCATGACTCCGACTAACAATTATTTAGATTATCGATTAATCTGTTATACTTTTGTTGATTATAGTTCTTTAAAATGTCTTTGAAACGAAAATACCAATCATAAGTTCCCAAAGACCAGAACCCGAAGAAGGCACATTTGAATTTGTACAAAAGCTATTTTAATGAGAAGAGGCCAAAGGTTGAGATTTGTTTTTGTTAAAATATGAACATGACGCACTCTGCAGCATCAGATTTGCTTCCAGTGACTATTTCTTCTGCCCGTTACAGACTCTTGCCATCATCGCAATTTAAGTTGTATTTAAATGCAAATATCAATCTGCACTAAATGTAAATAGTGGGTAGTAAACTGAAACTTATGCAGGCATACACTAGAGGTGTTTGTGATTGTCTCTGCTCACTCAAACCGTCATCATTGCCTTGCTGTTGCAATAAGAGGGCCCAAAATGAGCACCGCAATCGCACTTTGCCGCCTAATCATAAATACAGCCACACTAAACGTGTTTGTTTAGAGCCGGGAAATTACTCAACTGCAGGAGAGTAGAGCCATGGGTCACATTGAGAAAACATTCCATAAATGAACAATATGAAAACATCATAACGACTTGTATGTAGGTCAATCCCTTTGAATGTGGACTAGGTGAAAGGTCAACACAACCCGACCGTTCTACTAGACACAAGACGATCTCACGTATACATAAATCTATTTATCGCCGCCTTTAATTACATTTTACAGGTGCTGGAAATAGTTCAGGTGGATGAATTTTACAGTTCACCATCAAAGTTTCTGCTGTCATCTTGACAGGGAAGCGCAGTCTAGAGCGACGTCTGGGGGATATGAGGCTGGCCAGGGTTCGACAGGCCACTAACCGCAGGACCCCAGTCGACTTCTTGGCCATCCAGATGTAGACTACCAGCTAGCCCCAATTACAGCTCCACGAAACCCTCAGCAGCTCAAAGGTATAGATGAGTATTCAGTCCAGCTTGGACTAAACTATTGTCGTTGTGTTGTGAGTTTTGTCTATTTCTTTGAGCACTGAATGTTATCAAAATTAAGAAAACTATTTCTTGTCTCATCCTCAGGTTTGAAATCTGTGATTTGGAGTTATCTGATCTTCAGTGTCGAGGAAGAGGTTTTACAGAAAGAAAAACAGTCTTTAGTCATAAAACACTAAAGTTTTAAACCCTCAGCCATAAACACAATAAATACGTAATAATTGAAAATCATTCAGCCACTGTTCTGGATCTTGCGTCATCCCATTGCTGTTTGTGTCTCTGGACTTTGATTTACACTTTGTGGTAGTTTTCCACAAAGAAGTAATGACGTCATGGAAGATAATTTGAATGTAACTAAGTTCACAGAAGTACTGTCAGCCCGTCATGTTCATAACTCAAGTGACAGCAGGAAGCTTTAGATCTCGTTAAATGATGTTTTGTGACATCAAGTTGAAACACACAGGCATCATTTACATTATGCACAACAATGTACAAAGGAAAGACTTTCACTGTTAAATAAATCCACTTTTGCTATTAAGGATCACAGTTGTCAGTGTCTGATAAATCCTGATAAATGTAAACATGACTGTTTATATGTCAGCTGAACAGAAGCAGTGACAACTATTAGGATGATTTGTTCAGTAACGTGATTTCTTAAGCTCTCTGATTCGTCTGTTGCTGTGTTTCAACCTCAAAGCCGTCATTGCAGGAGGGACTTAGGTCGGTGTGAGCGGAGGACTTCTTCATTCTACAGCAGATCAGTTGGTAGAGAGCCACCAGAGGGATGGGAAGCACAGGTATTACAGAGAGCAGGATGATTATTGCAAACACCCAGTCTGGATAGGGCTTCACCTCAGTTTTGGGGAATAGTTCCTGAAGGAAAAGACAACAAAGTATAAATAAAGAATATTTTAGTTCAACAATAGTTTCATGTTTTGTGAAATTTGCTGATTCTCTTTATTTCTCCCTCTTTATAATCAATACCACTCTCATATCTGTGTGCTAAATATGAAGCTACAGCAGGTTAGCAATTTGGTTAGCTTAGCATAACTTAAAGTCCCTCTGCTCAACTAAGAAAGAAACTTTTGGGTGATTGGGTGCCGCCCAAGAACACACGGCAAGAACAAGTACAATATTCACTCTCTTTCAGCTCTGTGTTTGGTCTCCTCCAACCACTTTGTAAATATCTGGCTTTCTAGCTGCTATGGTCACCAGCTAGTTGCTAACTTTTGTGTGCCGTTTGGCACATGAAGTGCTAAAGATGATGCTGACGGCAATGAAAGTTGTGTCAATAATGCCTTTTTCAATTGTTACCAATGAGGGGAAAGCGTATACGGACGCATGCGTCCCCTTAGAAAATAAGCGCCGCAACCAGAGTCTCTTTTTCTGAGCATGTCGGTACCCTCAACGTACTTACATAGGCTGGGTTCCATGTGGGATAAGTTGGGTGTTTTTGTGCCTGGACGACAACGTAGGTAATCAACACCACCAGGAGCATTAAAGGACTGATCACCATCCAGCATGCCTTCCAGAAAATGTTGGGCTTCTTCCCAGTCATGAAGTAGATGTCTTCACTGAAACTGTCAGGGGATACGGGGACCAGAGAAAATGTTTAGCACACTGAGATCTGAAGTGTATAGGAATCTCATAAGAGTATCGAAGAGGAGGAGAAAAAGTTACTTTTTCATTCCGTAGACATAAATGACTGCAGTAATCTCAAAGAATGCAACGATGAGCAGAGGTACAGAGCCCACGTAGCTGTTAAAGATCTCCACCCAGTAGTTCCCCGAACCCATGGTGAAGAGGAGAGCCATCAAGAAGGCTATCAAGCAGATGACCGCTAAGGAAGTGAGGGAAAACAAGTTTTTTCACAGAGGAGGCAGCAGGAAAATGTATCACAGCTTACCGCTTCAAAACCCCCGAACTATCCCTTGAAGCTTACCTGCTACGAGTCCATCAGGGATCCACGTGGGCACTAGCTTCAGGTCTTTGATGGGTGCGAGGACACCCTCTAAGTTGCCAAACATGGAGGAGAGACCCAGGCTGAAGAGCATGGTGAAGAACAATATGGCCCATATCTGCGCGCCTGGCATCGATACCACCGCTTCGCTGAACACAATAAAAGCCAGGCCGGTACCTGATGCGCTCTGGGAGAGGGAGACGAAAGAGAGGCAAGAAAGTAATGACGAAAGCATGAACTGACTCACTGCAGAAAACGAAGGCATGCTTGTTATTAGAGGAGAGTTTCACCCATAGAGTCCGGTAGAGGCAGAAGCCTGTGCTTATAGAACTAGGGTTACAATGACGTAACCTTCGTTACAATACCTGGTCAAGGAATGTTTGCAGGTCACAGAGCCTCAGGTCCACACCGGCCACCTCACCTGGAGATGTACGATTTAGATACTCCAACCAGTGATCATAGTTCTCCGCTGTTATGTTCTGGTCTGAAAACTCAAAGTGGTTGGTCAGAGCCAAGATGTTTCTGTAGATCAGAGACCAAAAAAGAAAATCTCCCTCATTAGTATCGGCTAGAAAAACAATAGATGTTTGAACAGCATAGAATATGTGTGGATACGCACTCCTTCACACAGGAGTTGTAGGCAGTGTTAGCTTTAAATCCCAGGATGGAGAAGATGGGAATTGCGCCGTAGAGAGATGTGGCGCTATTTATCACCCCCACTAGAACAGCATCCATCTCACAGTTGTTTCTAATGGAAACAGAACAAATACCAAAACAAATAAAAGTGACACACAAATCATCAAAATGATACTGTGAGAGTATAGTTTTAGTCATTACCTCTCTGGATTATAGCTCGAGAAAGCTATCAGACCTCCAAAGGCCACAGAGAGCGAGAAGAAGATCTGGGTGGCAGCGTCCAGCCACACCTGAGGGTTCTTCAGTATCTCCCACTGCAGCGTGGGCAAACACAGCACATCAGGTCATCGTGCCCTGCATACAATCTTACATCACCTGTAGTACCAAGTGGACAAGCTCACATCAGGAGTGAAGAGGTACACCAGTCCAACAGTAGCTCCAGGCAGAGTGAGAGCACGGATCAGGAAAATAGTCAGCACCAGGTAAGGGAAGATGGCTGTCACATACACAACCTGAAACAGGCAAACACAGTAACATGTAGAAAGAAAAGAGTTAATGAAGGCTGTACCGTATGTTTGTCAGCAGTGATGTCGGGTATGTATGGTACAGTGGTCGATGTTGAAATAGGACTTGTGTTCTTCGCCGCATTGACAGACCTTTCCCATGGACTCGATGCCTTTGATGAAGCAGATGTAGACCACGCACCAGGCGCTGGCCAGACAGATCACCAACCACCAATGCAGAGAGCCGCTGGTCTCGATGTCGGGTGTGATGTTCAGGGTCTCACGGTACCAGAAGTAGTTTGCTGGAGTGCTCTTCACACACTCCGTATTATAACCTATATGGACACAAGTGAAAAGACAATGACAACATCTATGAAACTCTGTAAGGGCTTAATCTTTAAAGTGCTAAATTTGGAATTTAGAGCATTAATAGTTGTAAACATCTATTTGCAATGTAAAAATAATGTGGAGTAATGGCGTCCTGAGCAGAGAATATATCTCAATTCTCCAATCACAGACATGCTCTTATTTTGTTTTAACATGCATTAACTCTTGAAATTGAGTTCAGTACTAAAATGTATTAAGAGATGTGTTTCTGCATAGTTTAATTAAAAATATCGGAATCATGTAGTATTTAAATAAACATTTTAATATCTTGGTAAGATTACTGAAAACAAATGAGACCATGATTTGTGCTTGTAACCTGTCCCACATTTCACTATCTGTCACTGAGCAAAAGCGTGTTCTTTTTATTTGATGTTGTGTTAGAAGATTCCTTTGTGCCATAAAATAATAAAATTCCAGTAGTTTTCCTATGAAATGTGACGCAGAGACTGATCGTTAAGAGTCCTCTTGCAACTTGTAACTTATTATAAATATAAGAGTCACTCTAACAGGTTTTTTTTTTTACATTAAATGTTGCATATAAGGTTATTGGCAATTCTTCTGTCACTGTGATAGGAAGCATTGCAGACAAACGTGTTAAGAATAGCTAACTGGTGGGGTTTCTTGTTACCTGTGAGGTTGTCGTTGAGTGGACACTGGCTCCACGGCAGGGGGTTTTGGAAAGAATGAAAGAGGTACCAGAGCACCCAAGCAAGAAGAGTATTGTAGAACATGCACACCAGTAATGACACCAACATGGAGGCAATTCCTACACATAGGAAGTAT